CTGGTTGGTTCATCTGGTCCCTCCCTAAGGACCAGCACATTTGCCCAGTTTCACAAGTTCTAGCTCCATTTCACAAGTCTAGTCTTTATAGTAGCATTGTCGAAAGTTCGAGTTACCTCTCTACTCGGGTCTTCCAAGTGGGCTTTCATCTCCTTCTATTGGTTCCTATGATTTATATGGCCACGAGAACTTATTGTAAGTTTGCACCACCCGGTACCGGTTTGCATTCCTTTGTGTAATTACAGACCTTGTCCCAAAGAACAATATCATGTGACCATTACACAAATGCTATGTGACCTGCCAGTTATGCTGGTGTGACACAGGTTACAGATATCTTATTCTAACCAATTGTGAGAGACAGTTAACTGTAACACAGTGAGGATTTTCAAATTTTCCATCGACACTAGGATTTGAACTCTGGACCTGCCACTTGGGGGTTGACAACCTGACCACTTCACTAGGTTGCCACACCCCTACAATCGATTTATTTATAATTATTAGTTTATAATACATCATATGATTAGTGTATCAAAATACATTATTAACTATCATATCTAACTCTTTTACAATTATGCATTAAAGTTTTAGTTCCTATTCCTGTATCCTTTATTTCATTTCCTTATTCAAGAGCAATTATTTTCTTTTAAGAAAACTATTTTAGTTTCTAACTTCTTATTTCTATCGTATAACATTTCATTATTATCTCTATCTTTTTTGTTTCATTCAATTGATTCATCTTGATTATTTAGAAGGTTTTAATTATATCATCTTTGTCATTAAATAAATTTGATAAATTTTTAAATCTTTTTTTTTTTATTTAATTCATTATTCAATTAATATATTTCATTCTTATATTTTTGAATTCTATTATTTTCTTAAATAAGTTCATCTTTAAAGTCATTTATATGATCATTCTTTTCATTAATTATTTCATAATATTCATCAAGTTTTTTTTTAAGTTTTTTAACTTCATTTTCAGTATTTATATTTTCATTCTTTGATGTATTAGAGGATGTATTTGTTTTTTTATTAGAAGATTCATTAATACTTTCTTTTTTAACTTTATTTTTATTTAAAAAATTCATTTTTTCTTTAATAGTAGTAATTTTATTAACAGTTATATTCTTTAAAATCTCTCCTTCAACAAAATGATCATTATTAATAAAAGTATTAAAAATCTTAACATTATTTGATATAAAAATATATGAATAACCAAAGGTTCCATTATTGGTAATATATTCATATTTATTCAATTCATTTGATTTATTAAATTTAGTAGAATAATAATTATTTATATTAGTTTTAAAATATATTTTTTTTTTTTGTTTTCTTTAGATAAAAATTATTGAATTCATTCAGAAATTTGATTCTTATTTTAATAACTTTTTCTAATTAACATGTTTGTTAAAAAAATGAATTTTAAGTATCTATTTTCTAAATTAAACATAAGAATTAGTTTTATAATTTTCTAAATGTAGATAAATTAATAATATCAAATAGATAATAAAGACTGTCTTACTATATAATCCTTATCAAATTTTTTATTTATTCTTCTTTTGGTAATTCTTATAACTACAAAGAATCAATAAATGTTTATCTTTTCTTTGTAATTGTATTTTTAAATTCAATACATAAATCCATTGTATAATATTAATGTAAATAAAATACATTAACGATTAGTAGTTACATTTTGTGTAATGTGATAATTAATGTGACTATTAAGTGTATTAGTACACCTTATTCTATAGATGAACCTAAATTTTAATACTTATATAAAAGTTATAAAATAGATTTTTCTAATTCTAATAATAGTAAAATTATTAAAATTGAATAAAAATTCATTGAGATATGAGTTTTTAAACATTAGACTATAAAACTATATAATAAACTTAACTTATAGATTTATGTAAATTAACTAATCTAATTATCTAATTTTGTACTACCTAAACAAATTTTAATCAACCTAAACAAACTTTATCATATATACAAATATATTTTTTTAAAATAATATAATAATTCAAAAGTTTACTATAATAAAATAAATAATTTTATTTATAATATTATAAAATTTTTTTATTAATTAATTAAAAAATAAAAAAAGTTTTATTAGTAATATATTTTGTAGTTATTATAGTCATTCTTCTATATAATCACCTTCTATATAATTACATCATATGTAATCACATTTATGTTTAGGCTAAGTTATGATTTAATTTATAAGAAATAATCCTCCATATAAGTACAACTCCTTTATAAACATATTTTTTAAAAAAATTACTATGTGCCCAACTGTGTAATTATATGGGAAAATGACTGTATATAAAATTTTTTTTGTGTTAATATTTAAAAAAAAAAAATATTTTTTTTGCAACTATTTATATATAGAAATGATCTACATTGTACTCTACTCTTAAAATTGCACAATGAATATTTAGCTGAAAATTTTTTTATTAGAAAACTTTTTTGCCGGGTACCAGGTTACTGCTTTGAGATTAATATTTTTAAATAATAAAAAACTGATTGACAGATCAAAATAAAAAACTAATGGTATGAGAACCAGAAATACCACTTTATATGGCCTTAATTGAAATAATTAATCCGCAATCGTTTTACGTTATGGTATGCTACAAAATAAAATTTATGAATGCTTTTTTTTTACAAAAATCATTAGTATTCGATGAGTTTTTGATGAATTGAAAATTATAGTAGATAAAGACTTATTATAAAACTTTTGTTAGTAACTTTTCTATAATTGCTATTGAAAAAATTGGTCCGCAATCATTTTACGTTATGATATACTACAAAAAAAATTCATAAATACTTCTTTTAACAAAAACCAATGAGTTTTTAATGTATTGACTTGAAAAATGAGATTTTATATATAAAGTTGATTGCTATAGTAAAGTTTTTGGAAGCCGCAGTTCAGCTTCAGAAAAACTAAAATTCACCATTTCGATCTACATACGTGGAAAAAAATCTGATTGGTTGATTTCATTCGGAAATAAATATTATTGGTTGCACAATTATCAAAATTCACAATCTAAACAAATATTTCATACAAGTAGATTATTTTTTTAATTTTAGGTGAGTTGTAATTTGTAGTTCCATGTAAGGCTTGAACATGGAACTACGAATTACAATGTAATATAATAAAATAAAAATCTGGGTTGTTTTAAATAACGCAAAGTATTACAGTCGATATGCATTAGAACCAATCAAATTTCAAAAACTATTTAGCTGTATAATATTTACTATTTATTTGATTATTACATTTTAAAATAAACCGATCAATACATCATTTTGAACTATATATCTGTACATTTAACCTAACTAAGTAACCTTTTTCTTTGCGGACTATTAGGTAAGTCCCGAATATAATGTATTTGCAATGGGGGGGTACTTGTGCCACTTGAATATAATCGGGTGTTATAATTTTCGGCAATTTTACTGATGTGTCCCTAATAATGCAAAATATAAATAAATATATCATTGATCACTTCATTGCAAAATCAAAAATGAAATATATGGTATAAGTGTGCCTCTAGTGCCATAAAATGCCAAATGTTTAACTCCAACAAAGGAATGGTTGTTTTATCTTTAACCAGTCAGGTGGTCATAAAAAGCCACAAATGGTAAAGATCGTTATACTTGAGATCCATAACGTACGATTCCACCAAATCTCCTGAAGGTATTAGGTATGGTTTTAATATACTTAATTAATTAAAGTGAAATCAAACTTTATAAATTACAAAATACATACCTTGGTTTGTTAACATGACCGTCTCGTCTGGACCACCTTTCGTTCTTAACAGTTGATTGATGGATTTGCGCCCTCGCAATTGTACCTTCAACTTGTCTTTTTGTTGTTGAAGAGGTGTACATCCAAGCGGCTTAATTTCTGAATTCAGAATAGGAATACCGTTAACCAAGCACGAAAAATCAGGCCTTGTTGCAGCACCACTTGTTGCACGATTCAACCAAATATCATATTCTTTGCATGAATTAGTAAAAAATAATGGTCAGATGATTGGGTGTAACAATTTAAAACAATGTTCATCCTCAGATGTTTTGGCTGGGGAAACATCAGGAACACTACTACACCTGTTATACATGAAAAAAGTTAATACGGATCTAATCTTAGTTTTATAAATGTTATGAGATAAGACTTACATGTCATTAAAAGTTCGAGAAACCGCTCGGCCGATTTCTGAATCACTTATGGAGAAAAAGTGTGTCTTGCCTTCCAAGGAATCAGCCGATGCATTCCGTAACGAAGATAAAATTTCCGATGGCAGAACTAAATTCTTTACAGAATAAGGGTTCTTATCTATAATTGTCTGCCATTCCCGACTAGTGAAAATATGAGCTGGATAAGGACAAGGCGAGCTTAAAACAATTATCGAAGACAATGCGCTAACAAGCAAAACAGAAATCGTTAGCATAATACATTATCCAATATTATTATATCCAAAATACTTACAGCGCTTCATAAAAGTCACTTCACTTTAAGCCGTTAATCTTGCTTTCTCAAGTATTTCTAGTTGATATTTTTTGAATTTTTGCGATATGTTTATCATACCGACCTCCCACTAAAAGCGGAAAGCAAGCTGTTAAGATAGGCAAAATAAGAACACCTGAGACTTTATATATGTCATACCTCATTTGTTTTTTCCTGTAGCAACTCCGTTTCGACACTTTTGAAATCAAACTTTATTTCTTCATCAGTTTCATAAGGCGATTGCGAGGAAGAATTTTCATTTGAATTTCTCAATTTCTGGATCATAGACCTTGAATTATTTTTCGTTTTCTTCTTTGCCTAAATATAGTAAAATATACATTAGTTTTTATGTGTTATCTTAGTTTTACTATCTACAATTTTTTTCCACCTTTTTATGATTCGACAATCCATCTTCCCCATTCTGATTAGTTGCATTCTTCGGATCCTTTCCATGCTCAGATACATAAAACGGATTCTTGCCAGCATCTATGATGATTTCTCCCTCATTAAAATTTCGTTTCAAGGCTAATAGTTTGCATCAAGAGAAAAGATTAAAATATATGATACAAAATATAATGAAAAACGAGTTTGATATATTACCAGATTGTATAGTATTCCGCGTAGTGTTAGAAAGTGCTTCACTAAAATCAGTCTGTAACACTTGGTAATTATTGTCCCAGAACTTTTTGACTTCAGACGATTTTATATCCTTCTATAAATGTAGAAAAAAGAACAGATTGCCATAATACCCTTAGACTCATCCAAAAGTAACAGTGCACCCAAAAGACTCATCTCTTAGGAATTAAGACTCATCCTAGCAACTTTTGGCAATTAATGAAAAGACTACAACATTTTCAGACTCATCCCAGAACTCATCCTAGCCTTGCTATAATCTCAAAACAAACAAAAAAAAAAACAAAAAATCCAAACCGAAAATGAATTAATACAGTTCGAGACCAGCTTTTTTACGAGTTCACTGCTACAAGACTTTAGTAGTTGCGGGTTGAGACTAATTTTCTCTAAACAAATTTTATATAAAAGGTGTTCATCTTGTTTACTTCCGAAACTATTTGCGTACGCTATACTCCAGTTTAAGAAATCAACCAAACACCATGCTTCATTGAGTTCGAAGTAAGTAAGTCTAGACTCCCAACGTACATCTTCATTGGTAGTCATGATTAGAGTTTAAAAAAATATTTGGTTGAAAAAAAAATAAGGCTAAACGTTAAGGGTTAAATATCTCTGGCCAGCGATTAGAGATGGGCACACGCGGGATTTTTATATGATCCAAAAATAAGATTATCTGACCAGCATTACCATAACATCTGGCTAGCATTAATATAATATCTCGCCTGATTATTAGTTAGTAATGAGATCATTTGATCAGTAGTTTGTTAGTAAGTTGGGTAATTGAGTAATTATGGGCCTGTGCAATTGGCCCAGGAACATATTTCACTTAAGCTTACGTACAATACATGTAATTTCACATTTGCTAATTTTAATAACATGTAAATTTCACACTTGTTATTGAAATTTACTAATCAAATCGATGCGCATATTATCAAAGCATCATATTGAATCATATCATGTTTCTTACAAACATGTAATTTTGATTTCAGAATGGGCGGCCACGTATTTTTTGCAAGATTTAATCGCAGTAATTACATTGACCACTTCCTTGGTTAAAGCTTTCATCTGGTAGGATGATTCCAAATATCATTATTACCACGCATGTTATATTTATTTTTAAAAAGAGTGACTTAAAGAAAATCTTTTGTTACGTGAAATGGTATGCAAATAATAGCCATTGGCCAATCAAAATCAAGGATCAATCGCGCATTTTTGAATCATGACTAGGTTAATGCACATGACATAACAGGGGGATCCCCAAATTCCGGGTCGGAATACTTCAAATTTAGCCTGGCATTTAGTAATACAAGTTAACCATTTCTGGGCCAAAATTATCTACTGAGCAGCTTTACTTAATGAGTGAGCTATAGTTTCATTAGTAAAACTTTTAGTGATCTTGGGCAAAATTAGTTAATTCCGGCCCTGCTGATCATGATTCTGAAATATTCTGACACGGAATTTTGGGTACCAAAAAAGTTTCAAACATCACATGACTAAAATATCGAGCACTAAAAATTTATGTAACTTAACAAAAAAATACAAACAAAAATTCAGACTAACAAAATAATATCGATAAACAATAAATTAATCATTTTATTTATTTCGAATAACTCAATAAATGTACAACCATAAAATATTAAGATTAATAGTTTTTCTTATAAAAACCTTTTACTCAAATAAATAATCAGCGTTATAATTTTTCGGAAGAGCATTAAAAATAAAATCTACAAGTTTTCTGATGCAATTGCATTTTCTTTATTAGGTTTTATGATTTTCATTCTTGTTTATTATTAGTAGAAATTTGGTTACGGCAATCAATGTATATCTTTTAGAATAATGTTTTTATTGGATTTTATGCTTTTAACAATCGCTTTTCACTTTGAAGTATTGAAGAAAAAAATTTACTTACTACGTATAACTATGTTAATATTTAATGATCCTAATGATGATGTGACAATATCACATGATTTTCGAACTTTTCTATACCGAAATTACAGCTGTTTTCATAAATTCTGGAAATCTGACAAAAAATTGACCAACTGAATATTTGCTGATTCAGTCGGTCAATTTTTTGCCAGATTTTCAGAATTTATGAAAACAGCTGTAGTTACTTAACCGGCTCGGCCGAAGAATCGTTCAGCTAATTTTTGCCAGGTGTCCTGGAATTTATGATAACAGCTGTAAAATGTATGATAGTTATTTTTATGTGGCCGGTCTACGGGTAGGCACGGACACGTACTGATTCGCGTTGTACATATCTATTACAGTATTATTAAATCTAAAACCTGTCATGTGTTAATATACTTATCCGAAAGTTAGAATACATGCAAGTCATATAAATTGGTACGTGTTCGTAGATCGTTCCCTAACTTTGTGAATTTGGTATAGTAGCCAACAAAAGTAACGCCCGATGATCATTTTTATAGTAAAACATATAAAAAATTGAAATTTATATAATCGTAGAAGTTAATATTCTTTTTATTTTTTTAAAAAAATTTTAATTTGATTAGTAAATTCAATGTTTATATTCTATAATATTTGAGTTTCACTGAAACAAACAAATTGAGAATTATTTTTTTTTAAAATTATAAAATTTATAATTAAAAATTTCATATATAAAACATAAAATTTGTAAATTTGATTTTAAAATTAAATATAAAATTTAAAAAAAATGTTTTTAAAAAAACTTAACTAAAATTATTAAAATAGTGTTATTATATTTTAAGGACAACATAAAATAAAAAAATTATTTTATAAAAAATATAAGTTTTAATATAACATAAAACTTACAATTAAATTTTACAAAATTTACATAGTAAAAACATAATGAAA